ATTGTTTTCCAGGCATTAAGACTCATCGAAAGTAGTTCAGCAGGTATATTTAAGTTCAAAACATTCTAATTCAATGTAAAAATGACAGGAATAAGAAATAGTTATGTGGAGGTTTTTAAGAAATTTGCGCAAAATACGCGCCAGCATGTTATACGAAATTAGGTAAAAAACCCAAAATCGCCATATTCAGGTGCCTTAAAAACCATGTTAAAATTGAGTTAGACTTAGAGATCTGAAACTATGCAGGGCGTCTAGACCTTGTCCAAATCGACTGTAAACAAAATTTCATGTTTCAGGAGTATCGGGAAATGGGTTTTCTGGAACTTAACGGGTGATACTCGTAAAATATCTGTTCCATATATTGGACCGTCGACGAGTCCAACTCGGCGCGCGTCCTGGTAGGTTGTAAACCTACAATCTGGAACCCCTGTTTTACAACAGATTGTCGTGAAGCATATATATATTATATATAAGTATATATATGTATAGACGCTTTTGGCAGTCAATTGTAGCCTACATTTAAGTGTCCGTAGATTCAAAAGTATAAAAGATACAGTCATTTCGAACCACAGGTTTTAAAGATAATTGTTTATACTTTAGTTTACATTATATCGAAAAATAATTTAACGTCATCATCATCACTTGATGACGTCATCAATTTAAGTGTTTTTAAAACTTGATTTTTGACAAAATAACAACTTTTCAAATCGATTTTTCACCATAAAAAAGTAATTTCATTCAAAATCTGAGGACATTTTCACCTTAGATAATTGTTCAAGCATTCTGAAAATCTACCGGAAAATTTTCCTACCTTGCTCCTTCATAAAGATATTTGCTATTAAAGTTAGTGCTTTTTTGAAGAATAATTTTTTAAACACAAAAGTTGTGAATTAGTATTCTCTGGTGTCGGGCCATCTCTTGGGTTGTGGAGCTCAATTTTGCTTCCTGAAGGTCTAAATTGTGTAATAAGCTAGTTTCAAAGTTGAAAATCGAAAATTTGCACACGTGGGGAGACTGGGGACACGCCCAAATTGATTTGAAATTGCTAAAATCACTGAAAATTGTTATTTTCACGCATTTTATCAACTTTGGAGTCCTGTTGTGATTAACGTTCTCTTTGAAATCTTCTGAAACTTTGCATGCCTATTAAAATATATATTAAATACCACTATGCAAAAATTTACGGTGATTCAATATTGTATGCGCACGCAACGTCCGCTCAAAGTTTGCACGTGCGGAAGGTAAGAATTTTGCTCATTCGCAATTCGTGATTTCGAATATATTCTGCTTTCCCACGATATTTAAATGGCATTATTTATGAATTAAATGCCAACTTGAATGAGTAAAAAGTGCCATATTCAGTCTGTTATCGACAAATATACCTACCTAAACACAAGGAAATGTTTTCAAAGGTAAAATTTCGAAATCGTTGAAATTACCTCCTTATTAATGAAGTTTCGACTGTGTAAATTATCCTGACATTATAATGAAATCGGTCGCTCGCTTTTATTACAATTGTAATAAAGCTTATTGAATGGGAAAAGCGAGCGACCGATTAACGATTTCATTCTCGGTATCAATTTGCATTTGCGGACGGTTCCTCAAATTAATATCATTTCCTTTTGTTTGGAAAAGAGAGACAATGGCAGCGGTTCACTCTACCCATGATTATGGGTTTTGGTCAAATCATATATAATCAATAATATACAAACAAATAGTATTAGTAACTCGCTAGATTATAAATGTGATTTAAACACATGTTTTCGTCAATTATTACTAAAATTAATAATAATATACTTTTTCCAATTACATGTCACATAATTGAGTAGTTGAATGAAACTTGTGCTACAAATGTCTACGCCTGACGCAGAACTGCGTATTGCTTAGTACTTCATCATTCATGCTTGAGCGGTACTGCTGTTCACAGAGGCGCACGTTCAATCACAAATAATGAGCGCGCGGTATTTGGAATCTCTCCATTATTACATTAATTAGATCGCAGTGCTAACGGCATGTACTGCGCGAATGACAGAAATATCTTTTAAATTATTTTGCTTCTAAAATTTTGGCTCTAGTAATTAAGAAATGCAAGCAAGAGGGCTTTGGTTAGAGCAACGACATGTAATTGTAAGATAACAATTAAATAGATCCTGTGCGCGGCGCCCACAGCTGCACCTTAGAATTTCTCAACAATTGTGGCTGTGTGCGCGGCGTACTGTATATTTGTTGAAATTGAAATTTGAATTCATTTATGAATATAACATTATGTATTGATTGTTTTGTGGTAAATACAAATTTTTCTTTTCTTTAAAAAGATAAATTTTCTTTTCTGTACCTCAGCAATATTTAGCAGTAGCGCGCGACCGCCGCGGAAGAAGTTAGAAGTATATTCTACTTGTGAAACAAGCGCGTCACGCAGTACGCGTATACACATGGCTATGTGAACTGTCGAACCTATTTGAGTTAACGGGTGATATAGATACTCGTAAAATATCTGGCTCGATGGCGCGCGCCGGGCCAGACCATTAACAATGGTCAATTCCATATATTACCGTCGACGATTCCAACTCGGCGCGTGTCCTGGTAGGTTATAATCCTACAATATTTGAGCAGATTCACTCATAATTCAACCGATTTTACAGTACACTCCAATGTAACTTAGATGTACTACTAAACAAATATATGAATAATGCTCTTTTAAATTTAGACTCAATGATGTCCCTACAAGATCCTTGTCATACGTTGTATGACCCGCCGCGCACGAAGTGCGCGGCTCCCCCTGTATCGTCAGGACGATACAGAGATAAAAGCCAAAGCCCAGAGATAAGCTTTTTGTCAACATAGCGATCACACCATCAAAAAAGTTAACACATAACATCAAATAGTCTTGAACTTTCTAAATGTGACTTTACTATACAGTGCACACTGCACGCAGTAACTATTTAGCACTGAAATTATCGCTTCGCGCACGCGAGTTCTTTTCGTACAATTGCACCTGAGATTTTTCGTGCGGCTCGCAAATTACTTGACACCCACCATAGTGAAACGACCGTGGGGGTCGCAACGTGATACAACAAGATCCATGATATTTGTACACGGCCCCCTTCTAAGGCCTGATATGATGTGTGGCTTCCTAACATTTAATTCACAAACATTACAAAATTAAACTTTATTGAATTTACACAATAGAGTAAAAGTAAAGTAAAAATTATGACATAACATCATCACTAATGTCTACAACGTGTCATCGCACTACATGGAAAAATATACAGTAATTACTATTTCTCCATCAAATTTAAAAGTAATATTTTATCAAATATTAATCATAAATAACAACATTATTAAAAATTTTTTAATTTATTCATACTTCCCAGTGGAGTAAAGATTTATAAAACGTTTCTTTGCTACATAATGAAAACCAAAGGTAACCATTGTGTTTTTCCTTATTACTGGCATAATTGGTACCTTCAATTCTTGTTAAAACTTCTTTCGAAACATTCCAAAAATGAAAGTTATTAACAATACATTTAAAAATCATATCCTTTTTAAAACTTTCCAATTCAATTTTAAAACTCAAAACTGTCAAGCAGTTCTTTACCTCCGAGAATTTGTTCCAATAAGGAACAACCCGCTCTGGAAGAAAAGAACACTGAAGATTCTTGACTTTTGTCACACTCTTACTACATCTATTGGATGAAACCAGATTAAGACCTGATCTGCTTGGTCTGAACAAGTCTGAACCATAATCAGTCAAACCATCAATAACCTTAAAAGCCTCAATAAGGTCCCCACGTATTCGCCGCTCTGCCAGCGTTGTCAAATTAAGGATTTCCAGTCTACGGCTGTAAGGAAGAGTACCCACCTCATCAATCAGACGGGTAAACCGCCTCTGGACGCTCTCCAGCTCCGCAACTGGATTCCACAATTGGACACAATACTCTAGATAAGATGGGGTCTTATCAAAGATTTATTGATGGCTATCATTACTGATTACACATTTTTCTCTAATTATCAAATTCCTTACAATCCAGCAAATCATACGATTTGCCTTGGAAATATATGCTTTTATCTGTTCATTCCAAAGCAGGGAGCTATGGGTAATAACCCCCAAATATTTTTCCTGGTCAGATACTTCAAGTTCTACGCCATTTATCTATATCCTGTCATCACTCCTGGAGTAATGGATATTGTATGTTTATTTCAATAAATATGATAAGTTCTAAGCCATTTACTAAATAATTTAAGTTAGGGTTGCTATTAAGATTAATATGAACAACTTTACATTTGGCAGGATTAAACTTTAAGAGCCAAATACTCTCCCAGACCTCCAGTTCTACAATATCTTCAGCAAAGCAGCAACACTGCTGTGGTTAGCTGCATTACCAATCAACTTGAGGTCATCTACAAATAATTTAATCTTATTCTTGACTATATCAGGTAAATCATTAATATAAAGAATAAATAGCAAAGGACCCAATACTGACCCCTGGGGAACACCAGATAACACGTGTTTCACCTCAGACCATTGTCCTTCTATACAAACCCTCATGGTTCTGTCTGTAAGAAAATCTTTAATAACATCTAAAACTTTTCTTGTGACCCCAAACCCCTCCAATTTAGAGAAAAGTCTAAAGTGAGGGACAGTGTCAAAGGCCTTATATTACTAAAATCAAAATACAGAAGATCGACAGGATCACCTTCATCTAAGATATCAAGAATATTATCAAATGCCTCTAAAAGATTAGATAAGCAAGATTTTACTGTATATTAGGACGCAACGAAACTACCGAACCACGATGTATGGGGACTTGCCACCCCATGGCAACATTAAAATATATCGACTCTGTTACATTGTTTCCTGTTAATATATAGGGATCTTAAAACTTTTCTGTGTCTTTGGATGTACACTTTATACATTTTTAGTGATTCATTAGTGATACATTATTAAATGGCTTATTGCTACCTGTTTGAACATTTAAAAATGTATAAGTATTAACCAGAATTTATTATCATAATTAGACAGTATGGTGAGGTTCCTGTAAGATAATGTTAAAATGCTGACACATGGAGACTGATAAACTGAACAACTTAAATGTCCTTCCTCTGAATATTACATGTGAAAGTTTTGTAGCCCCATCCGAAGAAGACAACAACGCAGATAAGCAGATACGTTTAGATACAACAGATCACAACATAGACAAAAAAGTTTGCAAGCCATCTGAAGACAAACAAAACTTCAGGGATTTGTTGCAAGATCGAGTTCTGAAACGTCTCCAGGAGAAATCCGAATATGGGAAAAGAAATGTCAACTCTCCTGAGAGCAAAACTGATCCTCCACTGAAACGACATTTTTCAAATGAAGACCTCTGGAAACGTGTTGAGGGCCGTGTAGCAGCTAAAAAAGCAACATTAGCAGAAAAAGATGACACATCAGTGACTGATAGTGGTATAATCAATGATTCAAGATCAAACCAAGAGAAATCCTTGCGATCAAGTTCTTCTGAGGACATCAAAACCAGAATCAGATCTATGAGCAAAGCAATAGGTTTGGCATCGAGTATACAAAATCAAATCAAGTCTAATGATTTCGATAGAGACAACTCTAGTCAGCAACAGCCTAAGAGAAGTAGCAACTCACATCTGCATCAGCCTTCTGAACTCCTAAACACAGTTAGTTTATATCTACAATGTTTAACTTCATGTCAGTTATTTCATACATATGTATATAATTATATCACATCATGTCTGATATCAATAATGATTTGACTTTTGAGAATATGACATAAAGAGGTGAGGGTTTTTGGGTGATGAATTATGGAAATTTATTTTATAATGTTTTCAGAACAGATTCGGTCTTGGTTTGGAGCAAGCTAGCAGTGTTTACGAAGAAACACTTAGCCAGGGACGGTTCATGGAGGACGATTATTTCAGGTATGTAGCTTCAAATAATTAGCAGGTGCAAATTTAATCATTCTATCTACAGATAGGCTGTATAACTGTATAATGCTATTTTGAGATTCTTTCGCATTTGTGCAAAACCTACTCAAGCCTTGCTCGTATTCATCTCTTGTAATTTTTTACTCATAGTTTTCTTTTTGAAAAACAGCTGTAATCTCAGCTTACCGAGTGTTGGTAGTACACAAAGTCTCTTCTCAAATATCTCGGAGTACCGGACCTTTGTCCCTGATAGAACAGAGGATGCTCTGGGGAACTTTCTACAGTGTCATGTAAGCTACTTTTAATTTTATAAACATAGAAATTTTCATGCCATGGTGGATTATTTTTGGTTTAACGTTTGTGCAAATGTAGGTGTTATTGTAATAAGTTTAATTTTTACAGAGCAACATCCTACAAGATAAAGATGAAGAACCGCAAGTTCTTACTGAGGACAAACTTATTCTGTTTGCCACCGAGGTAAATTCAATGATACGATTAAGACCAATAATAGTTTTAATATCCCTGGTTGACTCTATTTTCGTTATAAAAATATCAATGTTCTTCACTGAACTGAAGAATTGAACAGTAAACTTACGTTTAACTGATTTAGATTGATAGATTAATGAGAGTTGATCCATTTAAAGTTGTCCCCACATTAATTCTGACTATGAATGACACTACAATTTCAGCTGTCTAAATTCATGAAAGAAGTTATCCCTGACCCGATGTTCCACACTGAAGAAGTTACCCCAGTGGGTACTCCAGAGTGTCTCACTCCACGTGCCACCACCCCAACTAACATACCACGTGACATACCACGTGACATACCACGTGACATACCACGTGACATACCACGTGACATACCACGTGACATACCACGTGACATACCACGTGACATACCACGTGACATACCACGTGACATACCACGTGACATACCACGTGACATACCACGTGACATACCACGTGACATCCTACAGGGAGTAAGCCCAGTTATCTTGAGGGTCCCTGAATCTCCAGTAATGAGGGAATCTTCTTGTCAGTACAGTTCAGATGATTTGGATGGGATGGAGCTTTCAGTTCAGGAAACTTCAAATTGTTGTGACCCGAGCCCTGCTGTGTCGCTGACCGATGCTGACTGTCAAACTAGCATAGTGTTCGAGGAAAGGAATAACAATGCCAGTTATTCGTCTAGAGACACTAGCACTGAGGATTTGGAGCTTCAAAAGATAAAATCTCGTGAGGAGATCTCAGTTCAGTGTTCGGACACTGAAATTATGTTCAGTTTCCAAGAGGAAGGACCGAAAACGGAAAGTACTGGGAATGAAGGGGGAGCTACAGAGTTATTGTCGGATGCCAAGGAAGAGAGTTTGCTGACTGAAAGTGATGATAAAATCTTGGATTTATCGAATTTATCCGACACAAATAAGCACGAGGAACTTTCTATAACTAGGATAGTTCCCGACTGTTACTCCCAGGCTGGTTTGGAAACATTGGATGGGAGACAGGAGTTTGATCACATATTTGTAACTAACACTGATTACACAAAACCTGATGCAGTTGATCGGTACGTCTCTCCGGTAGAGAATGTGGACAAGGAATGTGAGCGAGGTGTAACACAAACAAAGGAACTAGATGACTGCTCGGGTGATATGTCTGCAAAAAAGAAGATCCTGAAAAACTTGACAGATGGAAATCTTTTGGTAAGAAATTCAGAACTTTATATTAAGGCGCTTGTTCGGAGCATTTGCATTAGTGACCACAGCAAATCTTTAAGATTTGGTTCTTAACCGTTGTCCAACTGTCCAAGTCAGACTTTATTGCTGTTTTCTACTCTCCTTTAAATTAAAACAAAAATCTAGTTCACAAGAACGGACTGTTCAACACCAATCACTGCGAGATCCTATCTACAAACACCAGTGTCACACAGATCTTATCTGCAAACTCCTACTGAGAAATCTTTCTCCTCCGAGGCCGAGGTTGGTGTTTCTTGTTGAACTCTTACTGCATACCTTCTCTTACGTTCAAATCTGCTGCATTTTCATTTATCGTACACAGATTTTCATTGTATAATCGTTTTAAATCATGTGATCAAGTTGTCTATCTTGATCTTATATTTCTGCTTTATTTTCTACATTGAATGCTTATAAATATCACCGTTTAACAAAAACTATAAATATTCTAACAACCACGTGACCCAACCACGTGACCCAGATAGTAGAAAGTGAGGGTGTCACTACAATTAACATACCGTGCGATGGAACTACACAGCCAGACGGGTCAAACATTCAGGTGACTACTTTCATCAGTATTCCCTCTGACTACTTACTCCATATAATTGCGTTTATTTCACTGTAACCTTTCATTATCTTACTATTCTGCCTGCGTGAACACAAGGATACAAGGATACAAAAGTGATAATTACTCTATTGAGTACACAATAGTTGTAATTCTGTGTGTATAATCCACTATATTGCATGAATTGTAATTGTTATGCCAATATAAGATGAGTCTTTATGCCATTTTGAAATAAGTTGAACAGTTTTTACTGATACGTTTGTGTACAATAAGAGCGTAGTCCGTGCTCAAAATAGTTAGAACTTTGCCACCCTCCAATGACTGCAGACAAGTGCACAATATTTACAAGGCTACATTTTGGCTCCCTAGTGGCTACGTGGTGGCGCCCCCAACCCCTCCTGCAAGTTATAAAGTCATGCAATTTCCTCATCACCCCCATCTTAAGTGAGATTAAATTACAAGCTTTATTGGGAACATAGTAATGCTAAATGTTAACTGTTACCATGGTAACGTTGCGTTAGAGTGATAGTACTGGAGATCTTCAAAATGGATTATTCTACTGTACTTACTGTATTATAACTTAACCTGGGCAACAGCCAACAGCAATGTTTTAATGTGGGTTACCCAATCAATAAAAAGTCAGGTTTGATCATTCGTTCCCTCATATTCCAGTCAAATTTTATCAAAAATGTGTATCTATTTAGATAGATAGATACCCTTCAATCCTCACGAGACAAGCAGCGAGGTCGGCTAATGTTAAATGTAGCTGATATGTCTCTGACATGTGATCACCGTGTAGTGAGTAGTCTTCGTCACACGTGACTGTGACACGTGTTCCATTGGTGGTGGGGTAGGTGTCAGTTACTGATAGGTGGTACTGTAAGTGGTACTGTATACATCTCTGAGAGTGTAGTGTAACGGTTGATCACACAAAAGATTGTACTTTTTTCGGATCCCTTTATCGGGTCGAAAGTGTGTTAAAATTTGAACAATTTTGAACGACTAAAAAATTCGCAGTTTAAAACGCAACAAAGTGCCCCAATAAAAATAAGAATGATAATTATCATTGTTATTCTTTCGCACTAGCATGTTATGCATTGAAATAGTACCGATTAATTCACACCAATCATGATGTAATGACACCTCAAGTTTAAAGTGGTTTAGCAATTAGCATATTGTTATAAAAATTCGAACTTATATCTGTTTAATGTTAATGTTGTGCTGCTTAATTATAAGAATAAAGACCATTATTATATTGGGTCTTATTATAGCTTCTTTTTAAAATAGGTCTTTACCCGCATAAAACGGTTCCATCACGATGCATTATCTCTACTATAATTCAGAGAATTGTTTCTGTCTGTACGACCGCCCACGTGCAAATCAGACGAGAAATAGGAAGTTGCATAGTGACCATGGTAACGAGGATTGTTACACGCACGTGCACGTGCAATGATTGTTTTAACGTCATTTTGATCGGTTTTGTTGATATTACGCTGTGTTTAGTACAAGCAACATTTAACTCGGCTGTATCTTTGGTTGTGACGGATATTTTTTGACGCGATAAAAACTGACTGCCAAAGAAATAGAAAACTACTAGATTCATCCCTGTTACCACGGGCTTCCTAGTACTTAATAAATGTAATAGATTTGTAGTTTTGTAATCATGTTTGGAAAGCCGTTTTGAAATGAGCACCGTTTTGTTCCTTCAAATGAGCGGGGTAGTAAATATCATGTTTCCTTTTCTTTTCTTTCCTAGTATGCTTTATCATCGAACCAACTCTCAGTTAAACCACGATCACGACATGATTTCACCACGTGGCACACCACGTGACACACCACTAAACTGTGATGAAACCAGGTTGATTGAAAGACTTCCTCAAGCCGCGGGACATGATGATGAATTTGTTGCGGAAATAGTCGGGGTTACAAGAAATAATACAGTAGCTACAGGAATTAATGTAAACCAGGTCGTTGTTGAATACGTTACCAAAAGAAATGATACAGAAGATTTTTTGGAGGACTATGCTGGGATATCAAAACAAGCAGAAACATTAAGCTTATTAAAGTTTGAAGATGACACGACGATTTCAGATGCAGTTGAGTTAGACGGACAGGAAATAATCCTAAAAGAGGCTCCTTTTGAGAAAACAACATCGATCATAAATCGTGCCAAAGGAATTGGACTGATAATAATAGCTATTTTATGTGCAGTATCGCAGAGTATCCTCACGAAGTTTCTAAAGGACATTCCTACCGGAGAATTAATCATAATAACATGTATAAATTCTCTGCTGATATTCTTCCCGCTCGTGACCTTTCAAGGAATTTCTCTCTTCACGTTCCCCCTAAAGAAACTGGTATTCTTAAGAGTCATGTTCAGTGTGGTGGTGCGATTGTCCGAAATATGGAGTTACCAAAATCTTCCTTTAGGAGATGCTACAGCACTCATTTTCGCCTCGCCAGTTTTTGCTTGCATATTCGGTCGAATATTCCTGAAGGAGAAATTGGCCCTTCCCCAAATAATATCAATGGTGTTTGGAATAATCGGAATATTTATGATCGCTAAACCTACCTTCCTATTCCCTGACGATACAGAGAATGTATCACCTTGGTACTACAACTTGGTTCCAATTATAGGGGCAGTGAACATGGGTGCAACTTACACAGTTCAAAGAAGAATTGGCAAAGGTGTCAACTGTGTAACAATTGCAGTTTACATGGTCTTTGCGAGTAGTCTTGGAGGTTTGGGGTTCCAGACAATAGCCAGGCATTCCTACATCTACCCCGCCTGCTACTCTCCTCGCTTGTTGATGCTAGGAGTAGGATCTTTATCTGTAGCTGAGCTCCTAGCTCTTAACAAGGGACTCTCCTATGAGAAGTCTGCAACCGTGTCCCTGATGAGAAATTTGGATACTGTTTTAGCGTTCCTGGTTCAAGTTGCTGTATTTAGTGAACGGGTGGAAGTTCTTTCTCTGGCAGGTACTGCTCTAATAATTGTTGGAACTCTCATTTTAACACTTTGTAAATTATTTAATGTTTCTTGTGGGGTTTTAATATGATTTTATTCGGGTCTGGACTCCAAGACATGAGACTCTAGGGCGGCGTGCTGAAAAACATGACTCGCGGTTGTAGATACATCAAAAATCCGAAATCGTTGGCGGCCACAGAACGATTCTCATATTTCGATTTTAATTTTCTTTTGTTCTTGTTCATAATTCAGAATTAGGGCTAGGGTTTCATTTTTGTTTGGGAATGGCCATGAAGTGCCAGTAAATGTTAACGGAATAGAAATTTAATTTACAATAGTTATATAACAGTGGTGTGCGCCGCCGTGTTCTACCAAAATGGGCGGCGGCGTGGCCAAAATTAGCGGCGGCGTTCGGCGGCGTGGCCTGTGGACAATTGGCAGTTTCAGTTGTGACTCGAGAAAGTGGAAATTCATTACTTAGTTAAAGGATTGACTTAGTATTAATAAGGTTTAGACAGTTGCAAATTTCACTTCAATTCATCGTTGATCGTATGACAGGAATTCACAATTTTATGAAACATTGCATATGATACATCGAACTACTTGACGTCAGACATGCTAGAGGGATTTTATAATTTTTTCATTAAATTTTTTTGAGTAATTTTTTGAAAATTCAATTTTTAAAAATACCACGTTCACGCCGTTTGCGCCGCCGATAAATTGTTCGGCGCAGCGGCGTGGGCTGAAAACTCGGCGGCGGCGGCGTTCGGCGGCGGCGGCGTTCGGCGGCGGCGCACACCCCTGTTATATAAGTTGTTAAATATCTGAAATCCTACACATCTGATAGAGAGAGAAAGAGAGACAATTAAAGAGACATTATATATTATATATTAGACATTTTATATTAGACATTAAATATATTAGCCCGATTTAAGCAGCAAAACAGTTACGAATTTCTATCTGTCATCCGAAGGCCGCTGATTTCTTAAATGAGAAATTTACTCAAGGACCAATCATTAACATAGTATTCGTATAGTGATGGTTCAACTACTCAACCTTAAATCTGCCAAACATGCTCTCTGTTTTAATATATTAACTTACAAATTCCTTCTTCCTGACATTTCTTGGATTTAACTTTTGTTTAACTGAGGTTGCACATGCCTAGATCTTATGTGTTTCAACAAAGCGTCCTTAGATTTAGGATTACAGTCACAATATTCGCAGGCAAACTGTCTAGTATGGATCAACATATGCCTTTTCAAAGTTCCAGCCGTCTTCACTTTAATGTCACAGACAGTACAGTGGTAAAGTTTCTCTCCTGTGTGTGTTCGTTTGTGAATAGTAAGATTGCCCGAGTAATTCGATTTAAAATCACACAAACTGCAAGAATAACGTTTCTCTCCTGTATGTTTCCGTTTGTGAATAGTAAGATCACTCGATCGACTCGATTTATAATCACACAAACCGCAAGAATAAGGTTTCTCTCCGGTATGTGTCTGTTTGTGTTGAGCAAGAATGCTCGATCGATTCGATTTATAATCACACAAACTACAAGAATAAGGTTTCTCTCCAGTGTGTGTTCGTTTGTGAATAGCAAGATCACTCGATCGACTCGATTTATAATCACACAAACCGCAAGAATAAGGTTTCTCTCCGGTGTGTGTCCGTTTGTGCTGAGCAAGAACGCTCGATTGATTCGATTTATAATCACACAAACTGCAAGAATAAGGTTTCTCTCCGGTGTGTGTTCGTTTGTGAATAGCAAGACTACTCGAGTGATTCGATTTAAAATCACAGAAACTACAAGAATACGGTTTCTCTCCGGTGTGTGTTCGTTTGTGAGTAGCAAGATGGTTCGAGTGATTCGATTTAAAATCACACAAACTACAAGAATACGGTTTCTCTCCGGTGTGTGTTCGTTTGTGTTGAGCAAGATTACTCGATTGATTCGATTTAAAATCACACAAACCGCAAGAATAAGGTTTCTCTCCGGTGTGTGTTCGTTTGTGATTATCAAGACTGCTCGAGTAATACGATTTAAAATCACACAAACTGCAAGAATAAGGTTTCTCTCCGGTGTGTGTTCTTCTGTGAATAGCTAGATGGCTCGAATGGTTCGATTTGTAATCACACAAACTGCAAGAATAAGGTTTCTCTCCGGTGTGTGTTCGTTTGTGTCGAGCAAGATTGCTCGATTGATTCGATTTATAATCACACAAACTGCAAGAATAAGGTCTCTCTCCGGTGTGTGTTCGTTTGTGTCTAGCAAAAATGCTCGATTGATTCGATTTAAAATCACACAAACTGCAAGAATAAGGTTTCTCTCCGGTGTGTGTTCGTTTGTGAGCAGCAAGATTGCTCGAGTGATTCGATCTATAATCATATAAACTGCAAGAATAAGGTTTCTCTCCTGTGTGTGTCTGTAAGTGTTTTTTTAACTTGTGTCCAGTCCCAGACGGAGTGGTTTCTCCACCAGATAGAGTTTCACCCTGACTACCACAATCAGACTCGGTAGGTATAGGAACAGAAGAGGACTTTCCTTTCGCAGGCTTAACCTTCGATGGTGACAATGGGAGATTACAATTATCACACTGAAGTTCTTTATAGTCCAAAGGTTCAGCTTTAGCCAGGACACCACAGGAAACCTTGTCATCCTCCATCTTTACCATTTCACCTACTTGATTGAAATCTTCTGAACCAGCTTCAAACTGATTAGCCGGCACATCCTCTTTCTTTATAACTTCACCTACTTGGTTGAAATCTTCTGAACCAGCTTCAAACTGATTAGCCGGCACATCCTCTTTCTTTATAACTTCACCTACTTGGTTGAAATGTTCTGAACCAGCTTCAAACTGATTAGCCGGCACATCCTCCATCTTTACCATTTCACCTACTTGGTTGAAGTGTTCTGAACCAGCTCCAAACTGATTAGCCGGCACTTCCTCCATCTTTACAACTTCACCTACTTGGTTGAAGTGTTCTGAACCAGCTCCAAACTGATTAGCCGGCACTTCCTCCATCTTTACAACTTCACCTACTTGGTTGAAGTGTTCTGAACCAGCTTCAAACTGATTAGCCGGCACATCCTCCATCTTTATAACTTCACCTACTTGGTTGAAGTGTTCTGAACCAGCTTCAAACTGATTAGCCGGCACATCCTCCATCTTTACAACTTCACCTACTTGGTTGAAGTGTTCTGAACCAGCTCCAAACTGATTAGCCGGAACTTCCTCCATCTTTACAACTTCACCTACTTGGTTGAAGTGTTCTGAACCAGCTCCAAACTGATTAGCCGGCACTTCCTCCATCTTTACAACTTCACCTACTTGATTGAATTGTTCTGAACCAGCTCCAAACTGATTAGCCGGCACATCCTCCATCTTTACAACTTCACCTACTTGGTTGAAGTGTTCTGAACCAGCTTCAAACTGATTAGCCGGCACATCCTCCATCTTTATAACTTCACCTACTTGGTTGAAGTGTTCTGAACCAGCTTCAAACTGATTAGCCGGCACATCCTCCATCTTTATAACTTCACCTACTTGGTTGAAATCTTCTGAACCAGCTTCAAACTGATTAGCCGGCACATCCTCCATCTTTATAACTTCACCTACTTGCTTGAAGTGTTCTGAACCAGCTTCAAACTGATTAGCCGGCACATCCTCCATCTTTATAACTTCACCTACTTGGTTGAAGTGTTCTGAACCAGCTTCAAACTGATTAGCCGGCACATCCTCCATCTTTATAACTTCACCTACTTGGTTGAAATCTTCTGAACCAGCTTCAAACTGATTAGCCGGCACATCCTCCATCTTTATAACTTCACCTACTTGCTTGAAGTGTTCTGAACCAGCTTCAAACTGATTAGCCGGCACATCCTCCATCTTTACAACTTCACCTACTTGGTTGAAGTGTTCTGAACCAGCTTCAAACTGATTAGCCGGCACATCCTCCATCTTTACAACTTCACCTACTTGGTTGAAATCTTCTGAACCAGCTTCAAACTGATTAGCCGGCACATCCTCCATCTTTACAACTTCACCTACTTGGTTGAAGTGTTCTGAACCAGCTTCAAACTGATTAGCCGGCACATCCTCCATCTTTACAACTTCACCTACTTGGTTGAAGTGTTCTGAACCAGCTTCAAACTGATTAGCCGGCACATCCTCCATCTTTACAACTTCACCTACTTGGTTGAAGTGTTCTGAACCAGCTTCAAACTGATTAGCCGGCACATCCTCCATCTTTACAACTTCACCTACTTGGTTGAAGTGTTCTGAACCAGCTTCAAACTGATTAGCCGGCACATCCTCCATCTTTACAACTTCACCTACTTGGTTGAAGTGTTCTGAACCAGCTTCAAACTGATTAGCCGGCACATCCTCCATCTTTACAACTTCACCTACTTGGTTGAAGTGTTCTGAACCAGCTTCAAACTGATTAGCCGGCACATCCTCTATCTTTACAACTTCACCTACTTGGTTGAAGTGTTCTGAACCAGCTTCAAACTGATTAGCCGGCACATCCTCTATCTTTACAACTTCACCTACTTGGTTGAAGTGTTCTGAACCAGCTTCAAACTGATTAGCCGGCACATCCTCCATCTTTACAACTTCACCTACTTGGTTGAAATGTTCTGAACCAGCTTCAAACTGATTAGCCGGCACATCCTCCATCTTTACAACTTCACCTACTTGGTTGAAGTGTTCTGAACCAGCTTCAAACTGATTAGCCGGCACATCCTCTATCTTTACAACTTCACCTACTTGGTTGAAGTGTTCTGAACCAGCTCCAAACTGATTATACAGCACGCCCTCAGCTTTCAGATTGTTATTTTTGTCGTCTTTCTCACATTTACAAGTGCATACTGATGATGACCATGTTGAAGTAGTGTTAACTTGGTGAGCGTCCGTCATCTCCTCTTTGATATCTACCCCCTCAAACATTTCTGTTTCTTTGAGTGACATTCCTGATGGAAATTTGTGTATGAATTTTCTGTACGTCTTAAGCAAGCGTAATTAAAAATAATTGAATTTGTAGATACAATTAATAGCGACTCAATCATCAAAATACTAAATAAAATGTAATATTATCAAGCCACACATTTTATTTAGCAATTAACTTAATAGATTGCACTCTTAAGTTTGCAATAATCTGTTTCGGTGATAACCGATAAGATTTTGGAAGTTATCGACAATAACGGAAATTATCGGAGATAAATTAATAGTAATTATAAAACTTGATTAATCTACGTTACTACCCGTACCGATTTAAAAAAGTCGGATAAAATAATTGTACAGCAAATGAACCCTAGCCAACTCTCTCTAGCACTATTATAGTACGCTCCCGGGCACCCATCACGGAGCACTCTCTGCGCTTGGCCCTGATTGGCTAGCGGCAGGGTTTCGTGCTTCTCATTGGGCGCTGCTTGTCTCACGTGATTTGGCTGCTCGCGTTAGACTTAGCTCAGGACGTCAAATATAACCACTTATTTCAGTCATGTGATATAACATGTGATATAAGCGGAGCGCTTGTCTCGATAAGCGTTCTATAAATTGTAACGTTATAGACCACTTGATACAGATTACCCCTGTACATGTTATGCCTATTGGTCGAGTATGTCCTCCGCTAACCAATAGCAAGTCTAGGAGTCGGGAGTTAGGGGAGTTTAGGTTTTCCTGATTCTCTCTACACAGCACCCATAATATACAATAATATACATCTTACTACAATTAATGATACATAACTTTTAGAATTAGTAAATAATGTAAACAGTATTTAAATCTGGTGACTGGTGTGCAATACCTGACTTTGTATGTGGGTGAATATTTAAAGTATCCTGTTCAACTGTCACAATCGGTATTACAGCTACTCTTTTCCGAATCAAGTGACCGAAAAACACTCAGACAACAATCACCTATTAAAACCCGTATCTGAAAACAACTGTTGTCTATATATATATATAACTGTTGTCTGAAAAACTCAATTTTGGCTTGGGACAGAGTTGCCCAATCTTTGTAGCCCAGTGTGACCTTATGTTTCATGAAGGATTAAGTGACCAAGGATTAAGTGACCAAGGATTAAGTGACCAAGGATTAAGTGACCAAGGATTAAGTGACCAAGGATTAAGTGACCAAGGATTAAGTGACCAAGGATTAAGTGACCAAGGATTAAGTGACCAAGGATTAAGTGACCAAGGATTAAGTGACCAAGGATTAAGTGACCAAGGATTAAGTGACCAAGGATTAAGTGACCAAGGATTAAGTGACCAAGGATTAAGTGACCAAGGATTAAGTGACCAAGAAGTAACAAAGAATTTGTATGCGACTCGAGACCATAAATACATTATCTATGGAGGTGTATGTCATACTGTCATACTGAGGAGGTAAAACCAGTTTAAGTGCTCAGATCAAGAAGTACTGCACTGTGTAAAAAATGTGTATTAAGAAAAATTTTTTGCTGCTGTACAATCTTACGATCTCTATATTTCAGGTGATGGTTAACTTCTGGTCTCAAGATGGCACAGCTCATCCTGCTCCTCCGCATCAACACAACCACGGTATGTTCTCTAACTTATCGCATTGTTTCTAGGAATTTACCAGTTACACTGCTTTTAGCTTGTTCAGGATGGCCCGTTCATTATTTCTATTTGCTAGATTTTAAAGCTAAATTAAGTTAAGTACCTTTTCCTATTACATTGCTTTTTGTTAACCTTTGTTCCTTCTCCTAAATCTCCTAAATATTGACTTTATCCAGTTATTCCAGATTGTGCACTGACTTGTAACAGTTTACCTTTAAAAAGTACTCTGTGTGACGTCACGTGGTGTTGTGTGACGTCACGTGGTGTTGTGTGACGTCACGTGGTGTTGTGTGACGTCACGTGGCGTTAACCTTTGTTCCTTCTCCTAAATATTGACTTTATCCAGATTGTGCACTGACTTGTAACAGTTTACCACAATTCAAAGAAGCCGAGGTGGACGCCCTCCTTCAGACTCTAAACTATGAAGATGAAGGTTAATATCTTATCGTGTTTAGATGTTGTCTGTTTTACTTTTTGATAAGTAAATCGGTTATTCGTTCAACATTAATATGAGGATTTATGTGTACTGACATGTCGATCAATTTCTAAAGCATTTCTGTTATAATTTCAGATAAAAAAGAGAAGATGAGGAAGCTTCTAGAAGATCTAGATTCGGAACACCTTCAAAACACAGCTCACAAAACTTTATCAGACTCTGACAGCGATACTCCGCACTCCACACCACGTGACATTACAAGATCACGTGATCACACTCCGACCAATAATAACCCTCTCCCATCCATCATGGACGAGTACTCACTGCTCCTTCAGGAGGGCCTGCTGCAATCACCTCCTGATTACTTTACAGACAGTATCTTACCTGGAGACGTGTATCTACCCCCTGAGATTAGCGACTCCTGTGATGATATTTCCCTGCCCAGCGTACCCTCATATTTTGACATTCCAGATACCACCGTGGAGGACATTTCAGACATTGATGATGACGTCATGACACGTCATGACGTCATGACACCACGTGGTATAGCATTTGATGACGTCATAACACCACGTGGTATATCATTTGATGACGTCATAACACCACGTGTTATAGCATTTGAAGACGACGGAACCTCAAGTGATCTGCAACAAAGTGTTATCGACTCCAGTTTCGGTAGCTGCGACACAGTGATCCTAAACACAGCGCTACAATGTGACATTGAAGCCGCCCTAAGTCGAGTCGAATGTGACATATCCTCCAAACCAACCCAAACCCTAGCTCATGACGTCATAACACCACGTGGTATAGCATTTGATGACGTCATAACACCACGTGTTATATCCTCCAAACCAATCCAAACCCTAGCTCTCCCCTTCAGACTTGTCAAGTTCCTCCCTGTTGAGGAGTATAAAAACAGTCCTGTAAGTGACAATGGGGAAGTGGAGGTACACGGTAATAATATAGCGGTACAGGTGGATATGTCGCCAGGGTTTGAGGTGTCAAGTTGTTTTCATAATGTTAGACAGGAACTGAAGTGGTTGGATCATGAAACACAGTTTCAAGCTAAGGTTATTGATCGCCATGTTATTTGTTAACTTTATAACTTGTTGATAGCATGTGTTATTTTAACAGAATATCTGGTATGTTTACAGAGTATAAAATATAAGATGCAGATAACCACAAGTTTCTTAATTCTCCATTATTTCAAAATATAATGACTGTGTTTTGTGTCGACTTTTTACTTTCTGAAGGTACTTTCAATCTTAAATTGTCTAGAATTAATCGTATGAGAGGTGTCCTTTTTTTTTCTCTCGGAAAAACTTAAATCGATTTTTAATATTTTTTAAACCTTTACATACCTTAGACGATAGTTCACCAAAACACCCATAGTTACGGGTACAGAACAGTAGGTGGGATAACACTGCTACGTTCTACGGTAGAATGAGACAAAATGAGACAATGTGATTCCACCATGATACTGTCCACCCTTTTATAAAAGTTCCGCCTTACCCTCCTTTAGAGTCTCCGTCGTAGTTTCCGGTTCCCCTTCGTTATGAGAAATTGTGACCTACAGTTTGACTGATGATCCTAATATTTCTGACAAGCATTCTTTTAACTAATTTTTATATACAATTTCTGTTTAACCTCTCCTTACTAATCGATACTTCTTGTACAGTTTTACTAACGAGTTATGTATATCTATGTTTATACGAGACGTTACAATTTTTCACAAATTTGTGTCTCAATTCTTTATAAAATCTGAGTGCACTAGAGTGTTTGGGCCATTCATCATTTCAATAAAGCCAATGAAGCAATGATACTACACCAGATTCAGAAAAAAACAATAAATTCCAATTCAGTGAACTAGAACTATAATTTAAAGAACGTCTCTCACTAAAAGTACAGTTTAAGAAATTAAAGTCCTCAAACTTTGTTAATCCTATCACAGTTGTCTCCTTTAACATTTATTTTGCTTGTGAAGCCTTTAGCAATTCGCAAGTTTTAATAACCTAACCAATACACTTATCACCATCGAATAGAAATTGCAAGTATTGCACGCAAAGTTTCTCTGGCAATTTGATGGAAATGGAACGCGCGAAGACGTTATTCTTATGCGTTATGTAGGTGTAAGCGTTGAGTGCGACATTTCAAATCAATTTTGCAGATTAGCGCTAAAACTAAAATCCGCTTATGCGGGCGATCCGTGTGGCAGGCTCCGCCCTTTCATGTCTGTGAGAACATGGTTCGAATTCGTTATCTTCAAATCGGAACCGATGATTGGTACACTGAAATTTCAGGACATGTTTCTTTTCTCTGTGATTGCACGCCATATTACTGGAATCTGTTCAGGCTGAACCATATTTTTCTCCTTTCAAACCATTCAGTTACAAGTGACAAGAACCTTCTAACTACTAACTACTAACTAGGACGGATAAGTTTTAAGTTAACATTCCTAACAGCCAACAAGAACAAGATAAAAGATTCATGAAGTCTCATAAGTCCATGAAATACTTTATGGTTGGAATTTCCAGAAATACAGCGATGAAAAGCATTTTTATGAGCTTTATCGATTGATCTGATATCGTCTTCATAAAAATTATGATATATTTAGCTGTGTCGATTTTTATTTCACTGTGGTTCATCATATGGAAGAAATATGTTAAGTGTTTCGTCAGTGGCGTAATGTTGCCTGTTGGCGCCCCCCTGCCGAAAAAAGCGCCCCCCCTGTTGGCGGCCCCTCCCCTTTTGGTGCCCCTCCCTAAAATTGAACAAATTAGGTGATTTTAGAGAATACGCCGGTAAAATCTCTAAAAAAGTGTGTATCTAGAGCAAAACGCGCAGTTTTGCTAGTACTTTAGTTAAGTTTTCGAAATTGTCCCACATTCAAACGACGATTTGGCGCCCCCCTAAGACGGCGCCCCCCTGCACAGCGGGGTCAGCAGGGCCTTTCGTTACGCCACTGTGTTTCGTCGAATTCCGCAATAAAATCAAAAATATATCTCATACCCGATAATTCAATGTTGCAGGGAATCTAAATGGAGACTTTACATTTGGAGGCAAAACTTTTGTAAGAAAATGATATGCTGCAGACGGGTATCATACTTTCTTGGATCGTTCTCGATGTCCTGTTTACTTTCTAGTTTCATGTATTTCGTAAACTGTAGGCACTCAACTGCAATGGTCACTCGATAAGATCAAGAGCTGCATCTTAAAAGTTAAAATCATCATAGTGTGGATCCATTATGCAGCTATGCAAGATATGGAAAGTATGTCCTATTAAACAGCCTGAAGTCTTCGAGCCTTATGTATGAACTGCCTTCGCATAAACTAAAAATCCTTAACTGTCCGCTTGTTTATCTGTAACAGATGTTGGATTTGAATTTCGAGATCTTTTAAAGGTTGCTCCGCTGTGGACAGTGAGCAGAAAGCCCAGCAACCAACTCAATAAGTGGTATCATTTAATTACGTAATCTGCAGATTCTCCGTGCAATGTGCATGCATGTATATGGTATCGAATCGCGTTACGTCACGTGACGCGCCGCGAGAGACCGCCATGAGGACCCATTTGTCCACAAAAATGTCACCGCGCCTGCTCAATAAGACATAATTCATTGGTCCAAAAATAGTTAATCTCCCGGTGGCAACTCTGAACTTGGTCAAAGTTCGTGAGTGGTGCATGTGCAATGTATAGGCCGTAGGGTGTGCGAACGATCTCCTTGATTGTAGTTATTTCAAATTAATTATTAACCGATATAGTCAAATTGCACCAAAAGCAACACTTTTATGATGAATCAGTCCATTTTTCGATCAAAATGGAATTTCAAAAACCACGATTTTGCCTGGAATATTTTAGTTAGAAACTAACTTCTTGATGCAGTCATATTTTCACCTGATGTGATCTTCAAAAGCCCAAAATTTAGCCAATCGACTTCTATTTTCATGTTTCCCGAATCCCGTTTCGGAGATTATACCTCTGACCCCGAGTATATATAAAGCTTACTTTCAAATCAAATAGTTGTTCCTCGAGAGATTATCATGAAACTTGAATCAAGGATAAGATCTGGGTTTCTTGCAGATATTGTATACTTTCACTCCAATAGCAGAGTATTTAGGTTCTCACCAAATTTGTCTGAACACTATAGATGAGAAGTGCTCTTGAACACCAAAGTATAATGGCCTAGTAGTTCTCTGTACACGCTCTTGCCTCTTTAACAAGAGTTTCCGCGTGGGTGACAAATAAAATACCGAACATAGAGGCCAACTCACGTGCCCAGCCCTTTGAACACTCCAGACTATATTGTCACGTGTACTTCATAGGCTCCAGCTTGGACCTTTTTCAGTAAAAAGCTCTGACAATTCGGTAAACCGAACAAAACACTCTCATCAATCCCTTTTTGGAGTGTTGGGCTGGATCGAACAGGTTTTTTGATAATTAAAATCCTTTAAGAGTCAAAATGACCGATCTACAAATCATAAAATATGCGTTCAAACCATGCCAAAACCATCCAGTCGTTTCTTCCAATCCTAAATTGAATATTCGTGTATAGCTGTTCCAAATTCCGTTTTCCAGGTTAGAATGAACTATCATCCAGGAGGTAAATATGGACAAGAAAAAATCACTCAGTGCTAGGTACTCATTCGGGCAAGTCACACGGGGACATGTGATAACTCAGAATTCTAGGAGTCATGTTACTGCTGCGTTAATAATGCGTTTTCTCTCCGGGATAATTACACTCAGAATCACTAGTTTTAAAGTTTGTTAAGCAGGCAGACTTGATATTAAACATGGGATATGTTTTGAAAATGAGGGCAGTCTACTGCTTGTACCTATCTAATTTAAAACGCTGAGAGAAGAGCTCGTACTTAACAGGTAGCTAGAAGAGTTTATTAACATTTCACACTCTGAGAGTTGTTAACTGATTGTGATTAGTAACTGATGGTTATTGATGGTCATTGCTCATTCATTAGGAACACTCTTCGCTAGATGAAAATTTCATGGGAACCAGTGTGATCTATAACATTATATTTCATATTTTGGTTCACTCTGAGTAAATTATTTCTGGTCAAATGATTAGTAACCAGTATAAACAAGAATGGAAAATATGGACCATATCTATTATTTTTATTTATATCACTTTATCGGTATTCAGTACCTTTTTGGACTATCGTTAACAAAAATAGGTTTCGCACGCAAGGTATAATCCACACTCAGAATTAGACAGGCACTTACATCTTATCTCAGATAAACCTTCTGATTGAGCCTAAATAGCTGATTAGCCTACGTTCTAAATACACTGCCGTGTTATTTGAATTGCTCCAGGGGGTGGTATTTACACAGGTGCTTGTCGTGAACTAATGTCACGTGACCTCGTAGACAACTTTTTGTTGGGCAGTTGAAGTTAAGAGGTGCTTATCAAAACTTCTTTTTCATTGGTTCAACTCATACACCGCTTTAAGAAAACAGCGTTGTGGGAATTAATTTACATGCAAGAATTTCCGGTGTTTTTACAGCTTGGATAGAGACTACAGTACTGATTTGTAAATGAAAACACCAGTCCAAAGGTAGGCAGTTGGTTATTCGTTAAAATCTTCGAGAAATCGCGCAAATCGTAAGAAAGAAGGAGACAATTTCAGTCGAAATCTTGTCGGCTTTCATTTCCATGTTCATCAACTCATCTGTCTGCTCATCACCTACGATTTTGAAGTATCATGTATAGAAAGTATGAGGTAACACCAATCTGACGAATATGATTTACCAATAGAGAGAGACACATCAGGCGATCATTCCGTACTACTTTGTCACTGTTTGGTTAAATCACTGTGCTAATTAGGGTCCAAATTTATCACCCTCTCCCCGATCAGACCCTTCCAACTGGTTCCCCGGTGGCACAAACTTATAATCCCCTGGTTAGCCATCAAACAATGGAGTTTTGAGGGGTAAACAAGCTATAAGTTGGCTAAATAGTTCAAATTGAAAGAATTGCTGAACGGGTACAGAGGGAGTCGGTACCGTGGTAGAGTTAAGCTTGTAACATGCACCACATCAAGATACCCACAGGCAAATATTTACTGGGTCCGTTTTGATTGGAGGTTTTATCAGCGACCCGTCGTTTGATTGGTGGTTTGGATATCTGTTGATGATCGTGGTTCATGGTTTGAGATATGGTCATGTGATCATTTAGAGAACTCTGAATGGTTAGCAGTGCCATACACTTTAAGATCATCGAACACCTACGTTTAGTAAATACCGCACGATTCATTATAACCTATCACGCAACTCTGTGATTTAGATGTGTAATACTCTAGATGCTTCATCCCCCTTAAATAATCTACTGAATACTCTCCAACCCTACCCTTATTCTAACCATTAAACTAACACCACCTTGACACCCGCAAATTTCTGGACCCGAAGTTGTTAGGTTAGCGTTCTTGGATAGGACGCTGATTTTTTCGAATAAAGCGGGAATTCTGTGAAGGTTGTTGTTTGCTCGTGTACCCGTACTTAGGGGGAGGATAAGTATGGCAGGTGTAAAATAACCACCCAAAACCAGTACCTATAATTAATGAAGATTGTAGGTGAAGAGTGGCGTCTCATTATAGTTCAAATTATCGTTACTCAACCATCGACGATGTTTGAATTAAAAAACAATTTTCAAAACCGCTCTTACGATTCCAACGGTTATAACGTAGTTAATTGGACTTTCTCCAAGGTTTGAATAAATAAACTGAA